GATTGCATTTTTTGCATTTTTCAAAAAAAATGCACGCATTTTTCACCACTTTGCATTGCATTTTCCTGGACACTCTATAAATTGTAAAATTTCGGATGATCCTCCTCGTGATTTCCTAAAAGGCCGATGATCGGCTTGAAAATTTTTCGTGATACAGAAATATTAGTAGATGACCTCAGTGATTTTTGTTCATGTGATCAACAAATCCTAGAAATTTTTTTTTACAAAAATGTCAACGACAACGACAACACAAACATCAAATATAGATTATTATATGATTGTAAGTATTTTTATTTTTAATTTTAATATTATCGTTAGCTAGATCTACAAAGATATCAATAAAATAAATAATTTTTCTATATAAGGAAGAAATTGATATACCTTTTGAAGAAGAGATATTGCGAAATCCTTATACGCTCAAGTCATGGCTCAGATATATTGATCATAAATCTGAACAACCATTACCACAACAAATTTTTGTATATGAACGTGCTTTAAAAGAGTTACCAGGTTCATATAAATTGTGGAAAAGATATTTAGATCTTCGTATATCAAATGTTAAAGAATTGAATTCTGTCAACTTTGAAAAAGAATATATGAAAGTTAATAATTGTTTTGAAAGAGCATTAGTTCTATTGCACAGGGTATTGATGATTTATTTGTTTATTTATTTATTTATTATTATTATTATTATTTATTATTATTATTATTTATTATAACTATGTTATGAATTTGTAGATGCCAAAGATTTGGTTAGATTATTGTAAATTTTTGATGAGACAATGTAGAATTACAAAAACTCGTCGTACATTTGATCGTGCATTAAAGGCATTACCGATCACTCAACATCCTAGAATTTGGGACTTATATTTGGAATTTGCTAGAACAATTAGTGGTGAGACTGCAATTAGATTATATAAAAGATATCTAAAGGTGAGGTATGTGTTATTGGTTCTAATATTTATTTTAAAGATCTTTTTTTTGAAAACATTTATGAATAAATAAACAATTTATTGTTTTTATGATACTATTATTTTAATTAATAGAAATAGTATTATTAAAATTTCAGTAACTTATATCAACAAAGATAAATATATGTATGTGCAAACATTTAATTTGGTATTTTTAAACAAATAAAATATAGTTGGAACCTGATCATATAGAAGAATATATTGAATTACTATTATCGCTCAAAAGGTATGATGAGGCAGCAAAACAATTGGCAATAATAGTGAATAATGATCGATTTCAATCAATGCATGGAAAATCAAATTATCAATTATGGATGGAACTTTGTGATTTAGTGTGCGATCATCCGCAAGAGATCAAAGGTTTGAAAGTAGAACCTATTATAAGGAGTGGGATTCGTAGATTCACTGATCAAGTGGGAAAATTGTGGAATTCTTTAGCTAATTATTGGATTTTATTAGGTCACTTTGAAAAGGTATTTATATTTTTTTTATGTGTACGAGAACAAGTTTATTTAATATCATATTATTTTTCCATTATATTATTGTCAGGCACGAGATGTTTTTGAAGAAGGTATAAAGAATGTGATGACAGTAAGAGATTTCACGCAGATATTTGATACTTATGCACAGTTTGAAGAGACAATAATGGAAACAAAAATGCAAGAAGCAGCAACTCGCGCAGAAAATAATGATGATGATCCTGAAGAAGATTTAGAATTGGATCTTAGACTTTTGAGATTTGAACAATTGATGGATCGTAGACCATTTTTGGTAAATGATGTACTTTTACGACAAAATCCTAATAATGTTCATGAATGGGAAAAAAGGGTTTCATTGTGGAAAGACAATAAAGAACAGGTGTGTCAAAAAAAATCAAAGTAATTAAATTTGATCATAAATCCCAACAAAAAGAAAAAAATAAATAAATAATTAATTTTTTTTTAATGCAAACTTACAATAGATTGTTGAAACATATAACAAGGCAATTTTAACAATTAATCCTAAAAAAGCCACAGGAAAATTGCATGAGTTGTGGGTTAACTTTGCTAAATTTTATGAAGAAAATGGTGATATAGAAAGTGCTAGAATAATATTTGAAAAAGGGACTCATGTTGACTTTAAAAATGTTAATGATTTAGCAACGTTATGGTGTGAGTATGCTGAAATGGAATTACGGAATGAGAATTATGATAAAGCAATTGAGGTTATGGGCCATGCTACAATTCCTCCTCGTAATCCAAATGTAGACTTTCGTGATGAGGTAAATATTATAAATAATATTGGATTAGTATCGATGATCATAATGTTATTATTATTGTTTATTATTTTTATTTATGTATATTTATGTATTTGTATATGTGTGTGTGTATATATATAGAGTTTATCAGTACAATCACGTGTTTTTAAATCGATTAAACTTTGGTCATTCTATGTTGACCTTGAAGAGAGTATTGGTACGATAGTATCAACAAGAGCAGTATATGATCGAATGTTGGAATTGAAGATTGCGACACCACAAATTGTAATCAATTATGCAGCTTTTTTGGAAGAGAACAATTATTTTGAAGAAAGTTATAAAGTGGGTTAATAAATATATTATATAATTTCATTATATTTAATAATTTAATAAATTTTACAATCATTTAATAATTAAAAGATATATGAACGTGGTATTGAATTATTCAATTATCCGATTGCATTTGAGATTTGGAATTTATATTTGACCAAATTTGTTGCCCGATATGTAAGTATTTTCTTTAATGAATATTTTCACGAATTTACTCGTACTCGCTCACTTATAATATACGCACACACATATATAGAAAGGTTCCAAATTAGAGCGAGCAAGAGATTTATTTGAACAGGCTCTTGAGAAATGTCCACCAAAACATGCAAAAACATTATATCTTATGTATGGTAAATTAGAGGAGGACTATGGATTGGCAAGACATGCAATGCGAATCTATGATCGAGCAACAAATGCAGTTGCTGATGAAGATCGTTTTGAGGTATATTGTTTTATTAATTCACTCACGTTACATTGATATTCGTTAATTTCATATTTATTCATATTATATTTATTTATTCATTTTAGGTCTTCAATTTTTATATTGCCAAAGCAAGTTCAAACTTTGGTATTACTTATACGCGAGAATTGTATGAACGTGCCATTGAAGTATTACCTGATAGGGAAGCAAAAGATATGTGTTTGAAATATGCAGAGGTTGAATGTAAATTGGGAGAAATTGATAGAGCAAGAGCTATATATGCTCATGCATCACAATTTTGCGATCCTAGAGTAATTATTGCAATATATATTTATTTGATATTGATATTATATGTGTGCATAATTCTTACAATAAATAATAATTTTTAGACAGTGCCATCATTTTGGCAACTTTGGCATGATTTTGAGGTTAAACATGGAAATGAAGATACATTCAAAGAAATGTTGAGGATTAAACGTAGTGTACAAGCTCAATATAATACAGAAGTATGTGAGAGAAACGTGTGTGTGTACATACACATAAATATAAATATAAATATATAAAATATTCTCACACATCATTATTCTAGGTTAACTTTATATCGGCTCAAATTCTTGCTACTCGTCAAGCTCATCAAAACACAAAAGATAAACCATCCAACACAGAAGCAGATGATCATTCTACTACTACACTTGACCCAATGAAATTAGCAGAAAAAGAAGCTCTTCTTGAAAGCAACTTTACAAGAGCCGTTGCTTTTGTTTCGTATGTATTTTAACACTATCATAATAATCATAAATAAATAAATGTTTGCTTACATTACTATTATTGTGTAGATCTTCGACAACTTTAGAAGATGATGAATCCATTTCTAAACAACTTGCGAATCCTGATGAAATTACTATGGATGATGATGATGATTTATAAATACACTTAAAGATTACTTAATAGATTCGGATAATAACAATATTATTAATAAATGCTTTTTGTATTCAAAATGAAATTTATCAATTGCTTTTAATCAATACAACATATTATTAATTAAGCTTAAGTGTCAGATTTATGCAAAACAGAGATCGTTTTTCTTTATCGCTCTGCAAGCTGTTATTAATCATTCTGAGTACAGTTCTGATGTTTGAATTTTCAATAGTAAGTTTTATATATATAAATACTAAATAGGCCTTGAATATCAATGCAATAAATAAAAAAAATCGAAACAATAATGTCTACAAAGATTGACTAATTAATGAAATTTTGATCATCTATTATTTTGATCATCTATTATTTTGATTTTCGATGTATTTATTTATTTTTCGGATACCAAAATTGGTCTATCATAAAATTAGTTGTTGTTATCCATATCAGCATTGATCATCAAATCACAATAAGGGAATTCCGGAATTAGGATAAGCCTGATTTGGAAAATAAATTAAATAAATAAAACGCAATCATTGAAATCAAACATATTTGTAACTATTTTAGCTAGTCTGTCGATCCTTCATTATTTAAATGAATGAATCATTTTTTTTTTATTTTCAAACGCGTGTATAACAAGTTATCCACGTTTATTGAAAAAAATTTTTGAAAGAAAAAAAAATATATAAATATAAATCGTATACATTCTTTAATTAAATTCATATATATATATTTTTTTTTTTTTAAAAAAAAGTCACTGGTTGACAATATCAATATAATAATTATTTTTAACTTTCTTTAAAAATGAGGGGCTCAACTAAAAATAGCAATAATAATAATTCGCTTTCACATAAAGAGAAAAAAAATTCTCTTCAATATAAAGGAAGTCAAAAAGGCAAGAGCAACAACAAGAACAGCATTAATAATAAAATCACCAGCATTGGGAATAATAATGATAATCTCGTTATTACAACGACAACAACAATTGTGGATAGTATTAAAATGACTAATGCTAACACAAATGCTGACGTTGATGCCAATGTTAATAATACTGATATTGAACATAATAAATTTTTTCCGCCATCTTTTAGAAAAAACAAATCTCCACCTAAATTTAATAAAAACTTGTTGAAAATTCCATCAACTAAATTACCAACTCCTTCGATAACACCAAAATCACCTTGTTTTGTTCATTCTTATTTAAATGATTCGTTACTTTCCACACCTTTATCTGAAATTATTACTAGGTGTGATAATAACGAACCAACTGATTATTCTGAATTGGCTGAAACTGCTGTTGGCGTAAGAGAAATCGCTAAAAGATTAGGTAATAATAAATTTTATTTTTAATAGTTAATTTAAATTTATTCATCTAAATTAATTAATTAATTATTTTAATTATTAGGTCAAGCACGTATTCAAAGTCCAATGAAGACAGTAATGATTGTAACAAAACCAGGTGATGATAAACTAATTGGCTTGACACGTGAATTAGCAATGCATTTAATTTCTACTCCAAGATTTGGTAAAGACCATGGTGTCACAGTATATGTTGATAAATCTTTAAAAGATATGAAAAAATTTGATTTCAAGGAAATGCTAAAAACTTCTCATTTGGCCAAAGATTATTTGAAATTTTGGACAAATGAATTATGTGCTACTAGGCCTGAAATTTTTAACTTTGTATTGACGGTAATTTTATTTTAACATTATTAATTGATGAATTAATTGATGAATTAATTGATGAATTGATATTAACATACTAATTCATTCATTCCATTCATTTCAAATTTGTTTATTAATAAACAGTTAGGTGGTGATGGCACAGTGTTGTATACATCTTGGTTATTCCAAAAAGTTGTTCCTCCCGTTTTACCATTTCATTTGGGATCTTTAGGATTCTTAACAAATTTCGATTTTCAAGATTATAAAAACCATTTAACAAATGTTATGGAAAAAGGAATACGTGTAAACTTACGTATGAGATTCACTTGTACAGTTTATAGAAATGTAATAAATAACAAAAGCAAAAGAAAGAACAAAAAGATTGATAACAGTAATAATAATAATAATGACAACGAGAAAAGTATTCATGAACATTCTTTAACATTTCAACCATCCGAAACCTTTGAAATTTTAAACGATTTGGTTGTAGATCGTGGTGCTGGTCCTTATATGAGTTTATTAGAATTATTTGGTAAGTAAATTAACATCATCATCATTTTTATTTTATTTTTAGATTATTAGTAAAGCTTGATGAATATTACAAGTAATATAACTTTTATGTTACATCTTCTTGCTTATTATTATTATTAGGTGATGATGAACATTTGACAACTGTACAAGCTGATGGCTTGGTTATTTCAACACCTACAGGGTCTACTGCTTATTCCGTTTCAGCTGGTGGATCCTTGGTACATCCTGAAATTTCTGCTTTATTAATGACACCTATTTGTCCACATACATTATCTTTTCGACCAATGTTATTGCCCGATTCAATGGAATTAAAGATATACGTTCCGTTCAATAGTCGTAATACTTCTTGGGCTAGTTTTGATGGTAGAAATAGAGTTGAGTTAAAGCGTAAGTTATATGTGTGTGCGTGTGTGTGTTATTTAATATAATTGTAAAATTATTAACACAAATAAATAAATAATCAAATATCTATTTATAGAAGGAGATTACATAAAAGTTACACCATCAAAATTTCCATTCCCTACCGTATGTTTAAAATCTCAATCACAAGATTGGTTTACCTCAATATCAAGATGTTTAAAATGGAATGAACGTGAACTTCAAAAGGGCTTTGTTGTAGTTGAAGAAGAAGAAACATCATCAGATGAAGATGAAAGTGTTTATTTTGATGAGGAAGATGAAGAACCAGAAGAAATGGAATTATCATCATCATCATCATCATTATCATTATCATCATCATCATCATCATCATCATCATCATCATCATCATCATCATCATCGCCATCATCATCATCGCCTCCTTCATCTCCTGTAGAGGATAATAATAAAGTTAAATTTTATGACCGAGAACAATTTAAAGAATCATTTAATAATAGTAACAACGACAATCAAATCAACATCATCAACGATGATAAAAACAACGATAATGATTTTATTTTTTCAATGAATGATAATGATAATGAACCAACAAAAATCGATAAAAATAACGAAAAAAATTATTATTCATCATCCACGACAACAATTGTACTCGCCAACAATTCAACTAATATTAATAATGAGGAAGAGTGGAAAGTTGTTACTCGTGGTAGAAATGGTAGAAATGGCAGAAATAAGAAAAAAATGATATAATTTAATTAATTAAAATATATTACACATACACGCCACACCACACCACACACTCAAATAGATTGTTTTGTATTATATTCATGTAAACGATAATTTGAAGTTTTAGATTTTACATTGGTTATTTTACTTTAAACTTAGATTATTTATTTATTTCTATGTTTGATATACACGCACGTATATTTTAATTTATTCATATTGTAAAATGTCAGTCATTCAATGTTTTTATTTATAGAGCATTTTTCTTTAAATATAAACTTTTTTTTCTTTAAATATTAACTTTTTTCTTTAAATATTTATTTATTTAATTTATAATTTTTTCAACTTGTAGATATTTGCTTGTATATTATTATTTTTCTAATAAAGAAATTTCTAATGTCACAAATACATTTTTGTCCTCTTAGGTAAAATTGAATTGAATAAAATTAACATCAAACTTCTACACACCTTTTTTTGGCAATTCAAAATAACTATTTATTGGTTTATAAAAAAAAAGAACTACTTTTCTTACACAAAGGAAATTGAATTTGGAGTAATGTAGCAAGTACAATGTCTTGTAGGAAAGTAGCACTTTTAAAAACTGAAATCGAAGTTGTAAAATTCTCGAGCAAAAATTGCAGATCTTTACAAACCTTGTCAAGAATTTGAATATGGCGAAACAAAAATAAAATTTAAATACGTTTTTGGGAAATTCTCCTCAAGTTGAGAGTAAGTATAGCCGGAATTTGTCTAAAATTTAGGATGGAAGATCTGGCAGACTTTTAGTGTCTCCTTCCGATCAGAGAATAAAACGATGGGGAATATTCGAGAAACTAGCTTCACTTGATACTTGCCTTAAGTATAAATTTTATAAATAGTTCTCTTCCATCGTTTGACTGCGTTGGATGTTGTTTGACTATTAAACGACCTTGAAATGTGGAGTGTTGTAGTTCGATTCTCAACTTACACAAACTCACCAATCTCCATTTTGTAAGCAATGTTGATGCTTAACATTAACGTTATCTTAAAAACTTGTCGCAAATAAACAATAGTAATAGATGTAATTTGTTTAGATAACATGTGCCCCAGATTAAGAGAGTTCCCAGAACCTTTAGAACATATTAATATAAATAACTTTGTATCCACATGACAATAATATATAATAAACCTACCTATTTTATGTTAGCGAGGAATTGTGTAGTGAAGATCTTACTATTACGGATCATCAATAGAGAGAGATTGGTATTGTTTATCGAAATATCGTTTTGGTGCGGTTATACCAATTATAGCGAGATAAAAACATCAACAATAATATATTGATGAATTAATTTCCCTATCAGTCACAAAAAAAAATTTAAAAATAACTTTAACTCAAATGATAACAATGATAGAAGTAGTAACAGTATTGAATACGGAAAAGATAAAATAAGATAATAATTTAAATCCAAATGTTACAAATGATGATGCTTAAAGCTCCAAACAGGCGGCTTAAGGCAAACCCGAGATCGACCCGAAAATTTCGGGTTGGTTTCGTGTTGATTTCGAGTTAACAAGAAAATTTTGCGATTTACATTGATTTAGATAAATTTATCTAAATCTTATTAATTAAATATAAAAGGCGAAACAGTTATAAGCCCGCAATTGGTGTTGTGCGTGGAACACAATTCGTGATGTAAGAGATGCAATGCAAGCCGTAATTCGCGATGCAGGGCATACAGTGTGTTTCAAAAAAAATGGCGCCAAAATGTAAATTTATTTTAAAAATTTTTGCATGACAAAAAACGATTGGGTATCTTGTTTGAATGATAATAAATACTTGTATATGTTTTATTACATGCGTTTGCAACAGGATAGCGATCCAAAACACACATCACGTGTTACAAAAACCTTCATTTTTGAAAAAAGAATTTGCATAATAGACTGGCCATCCAACAGTCCTGACCTTAATCCCATTGAAAATATCATAAAAAATAATGTTGAAAAAAGGATGCCAAGGAATGTTGATGAATTGAGATATTTATGGTTGAAGGAAACAGTCAAAAATATTATTATGTCTATGAAACAGAAATGTGAGTTGGTTTTAGAAAAAAAACAGCGGTATAATTTCTTATTGATTTTTTTTATTTAATAAAAATACTTGGTAAGCTTTCAAATGAATCCAGCTTTGTTTAATCTATCTTGCATAATTGTTGAGATATATGATTTTTTGTGTACGCCATTTTTTTTAAACACACTGTAATTCACGAGACTAGTGGTCAGAACTAAATCATAGTTTTAGCAATTTTGGTTTAGGCCTAATTTCGCCATGAAAATTTTCTGACTGTGAGCGAAAACCAAACTGACAATTAAACCCTACTGTTTAATTCCGACCACAAAGGCGTTTATCAAAAAAGAATTAATTCGTTTTATTATTATCACAAACGAAAAAGTGACAATCTTTTTTTTTAAAATTAATCATTTTTGTATATATATACATATATATAAGTAAATAATAAAAATAATGCTAAAAATAAAATTATTAAAAACGAAAGACTATTAATATGTCAACATTTCCTACATACGATTGGACAGCACCTCGATAAATCCGTTTTATTTATCACAATATAAAACTTTGCTCATAGGTTCGACAATTTAAAAGTTTAGGCAACTTTTAAGTTTCGACACTAGTTTAGGAGCCTAAACTCCTAATTTCTGCGGGTGAAACTATTTCTATTTCGGATTTGCTAAAACAATTTCGGCTATCGTCATTATACAAGACACAATTCGTGATGTGTGTGTGAATTAATTCAAATTTTAACCACACATAAAACTCTCTATTTATTACATGAAAACTTTTTAATTTTTTAATTTGATGCAAGATGAGCATGTTTCATGACAATTTATTAGCTAACAAACCCTTTTGGCTATGAAACATTGATATCACGTTGGAAATTAAATCAGTTGTATAAAATTATGATAAATTTGAGACTTTTAATTACAATTCAATAATTTGACCTCAAGTATAATTGGTACAGTCTAAAAAATTTTCAGGTTTTGGATTAGGTTTAAGTTTTTTAGTTTAGTCCAAACTGATGGAATCTTCTTAACCAAACTTTTTCAATGAGTATCCATAGTCAGACTTGGTACAGCAGGGTTGACAAATTGGCTGGTCCATTGTCATTAATAAATACTAAATATGGTTAAAATGTTATACTAACGGACTCAATGGATCACCAATAGACCACGCATTTGCCAACCTTGTGGCATAGAAGTGCTATTGCTTTGCAACACATCATCTTACAGGAGTTTCTGTAGGAATCAACCAAAAAAACCAAGACCTATCTACAAATTATATTGTGAGATAGTAAAATGGAGTCTGATATGAGTATACATGCAGCCCAAATTGGTTTGGTGATTTTGATGGTAGAAAGTAGAAATTAATTACAGCACTCGTTATTAAAAACATAAGTGTAAAACCCCTTTACAACATATTTAACCCCTTTATGACAGTGTCAAAATACTTTGGGTTGCATGTATAGATATAGATATGAGGTCCTAGTTTTTGTTGATCACAGAACCAACTTATTGCAGAAGTCATGTGATACTACAAATGTTGGGATGATCGTTGAACAATTTCTGGTAGTACCCCGGGTCCTTTTCTGGTTTAAGCATAGTTAAAATTGAAATCTACCGATTAAAATAATTAAAATCAAGCCAAAATCATGTGGCTGACCAAAATACTTTGAAAATGATTTGGAATACAATTTAATATCCTTATTAACAAAGAAAATAACTTGTCAAGCATGTTAATGTTATTTATCCTATAACTTTCTTAGTCACCAGAAATTGAAATATGTAGGTCATTAACAAATTTGGATGTTATGACTGAAATACACAAAACTCAGAGCAACTTTATTATTAATAAAAGCCCAAACTAAATTCCGCCCAGGAAAAACTATTTTTTGTTCAGAAGAGAAGTATATTATTAGTATTATTATACAAAATTTGAGGTGATATAAATAAGTGGTGATATACCAGTTTTTTATGTGGTGCTTTTTTGATTTTATAATACTCTTCACATATAAATTGCTGATCTTTTTTTTTTGAAATTCTTCATAAAAATTTCTACTTTAATTGCATCTTGCAGAAATAAGATAGGGTATGATGTTTCTGAACACATTCCAATTTTAGTAATCTCCCAAAATTTGTGAAAAAAAAACATGATCCTTGGGCTTGAAGAGAACTAGAGTTCCATGTTGCAACCCAAAAAAGGAAACAAAATGGTTGTAAAGGTGGTTGCAATCATTTTTTATATGATGCAAAGATGGTAGCAACCATCATCAAAAGTTGCAGCTGGTATTCTTAGGCATAACCAATTTGGTTTTCATAACAACATTAGATTTTCTTGGCCAGGTTTATCTTGAGGCATTGGAGCTTTCATAATTTAACTTGGTTACCAAACATTTTCAACATAATAGTTAGTCATGACAATAACAATAAAAAAGATAAAGATAATAGTCATTGAATTAAAGAAAATATATTTTTCTTCAAGTGAGTTGTAAAAAAAATATATTTAAAGTTTCTAGATAATTAAAAGATTCTATTTATTAAAGGGTGATCCTATATATACAGGACCTTCCTAATTTGGAAGTGGAAAATATGATCTACATGATTTTTATATGGTGCGCCGCATCTAAAGACATCAAATGCTGCGTCATTTGCCAAAAATTTTAATGGTGATCTTTCCTGATTAAGATATGGTGCTTCATATTAGTTGAACGATTTGTCACATTAAATGATTGGAAAGTGTATTTTCTGAAGTTTTTTGGTGATCAATGTTGAAATTCTATTAATAAAATTAGCCACAAACCTTAATTTTAACCCTTTTTTGCTCACCAATCTC